AGATACAGTATATCTTTGGTATTGAAATTTCTTAGAGGATGGCAATGAGGAAAAAATGTCTCCCCTGCTTAGGGGGCTGATAATGAAACACTATTGAGACACACTGCACTGCTCCAGTGCAAGTGGAACTTGCAATTGCAAGCAAATCTTGAGTGTTTCCTATGCCCTGGAGTCTCTGTCCTGCACTTGACTTTCATTATCTCATTTAATCTGTACAACTGCCTTTCAGGCAGGCACTGTTGCTCTCCCTGTTTTAACAGATGGGAAAACTAAGGCTCAGAAAGAAACATGCACAAGGTCACTCACTTACTAAATTGACAGAGCCAGGATTGAATCCCGTCTCTCTACCCAAAATCTGACCTCTTATTTACCCTGCGTTAGTGCTAGGTTGAATCAGGGCAAACACAAACAGATTCCTGGTCACGAAGCTATATAGAACATGGGAAGTTAAAATACTTAAAAAACAAAAAAAGCAGGTCAGTATAGGTCACTTCTGTAGGATCCTTTGTAGGACAAAGTTTGCAGCCCTTGGCAATCACTTGTCCAGTGTCACTCCATCCTGATAAAGTGTTTACTCCTTAAGGAGAACCTATATTCATCTATGTACCTTCCAAGGCTCTAGGTGCTCTTCCTAGTGTCACAGTGCCTGGCCCACAATAGGTGCTCGAAAAATGCTAACTGAGTTAATAACAACAACAACTGCAAGAGTTGTATCAGCTAGCTATTGACACAGGAATGCTGCATAACAAACAACTCCAAAAATCCAGAGTCATACAGTAAACAAGCATTTATTTCTTATGGGTCTGCAAGGTTGGTTGGCATTTGGCTGAACTAGGCTGAGTTTGTTGTGCTTGGCTCTACGTCATGGGTTCTATTTAGTTCTAGTGTCCCTCTTCTTGGACCAGTGAGTGACCTAGGGCAGTGTCTTCCCATGCCGTAAGCTGAAAGTGCTCAAAATGGCAAGCAGAAACACACGGTATCTTTAAAAACCTTGACTTGGAACTGGCACACTGTCCCTTCTGCCACATTCCATTGTTAAAAGCAAGTCACACGACTAAGCCCAGTGTCAATGGAGGTGGTCAAGGTAGGGGAAGTGTAATGTTTGCTGAATGACAATTAATCTACTACGACAGTTAATATATAATAGAGTTTACTATGTTGTAGAATTATTTAATTATTTCACATGTGTTCACTGATTCAATTCCCCTCAACAATCCTATGTGAAGGTCCTATTATTATCCCTATATATTTATTTATTTTTGAGACAAACCACCCACTCTGTCGCACAGGCTGGCGTGCAGTGGTGCAATCTCAGCTCACTGCAGCCTTCACCTCCCGAGTGGCTGGGACTACAGGCACACTACCACCACGCCCAGCCAATTTTTTTTATGTTTTGCAGGGAGGGTTATGCCATGTTGCCCAAGCTGGTCTTGAACTCCTGTGTTCAAGGGATCGTCCTACTTTGACCTCCCAAAGTGCTGAAATTACAGGCATAAACCACCACACCCAGCCTATTATCCCTATTTTAAAGACTAAGATATTGAAGCTCAGAGCTGTTAAGACACACACCCAGGGGGTTCACAATTAGGAAGTAACAGGGCGGGGAGTTGATTCCCAGGCAAGAAACTCCAGAACGTCTTGCAACGTAATTTTGCATACTGTCCGCATCAAAATGTGCTCTATTTTCTCCATTTCTCCCAGCTACTTGGGAGGCTGAGACAGGAGAATCACTTGAACCCAGGAGGCAGAGGTTGCAGTGAGCCAAGATTGCGGCACTGCACTCCAGCCTGTGTGACAGAGCAAGTCTCAAAAAAAAAAAAAAAAAAGAGTGGACTAGAGTAAGGCTATGAGTAAGGCTATGTTACAGTGCAGTTTATATAGTCAAACAAAGAATTATTTTGTAAACTTGCTTTTCAGTTCTATATGTATAGGTGTGTCCTGGATCTCAGTGCAACCATTATTTATACACACACACACATGCACACACACACACATTTTTTTTATTGGGCTCCATGACTCATGCCTGTAATCCCAACACTTTGAGAGGCCAAGGCTGGCAGATCGTTTGAGCCCAGAAGTTCGAGACCAGCCTGGGCAACATGG